CATTTTCTTAACAACTTATTTTTATGGCTACGGCCTTCAAATTCAAGAAGCTTCCTAATTTTGGGTCTAAACTGACATCTATTGCAACAGTTTACACTGACTGAAAATGTCTCAGTTGGTACTATTGTTATAGTGTATCTTTTAACTACGGTTTAATTGCTAAAAAAATGTGTTGTTGGGCGATTTTTTTTTTATAGTGAAGTCTTGTAACATGCATTCTCTTTCAGATTTTTTACATAAAAAATCTTGGTGTCTCATTTATCAAATTTTTTTTATCAATATGTGTGTTGGATTTTCTTATAATGTGTTAGATATGGCTCATATATCATAAAAGGGGTAGATTCTGGAGCGGAGTCGAGCAGAGCGGAATATTATGTCCAAATCAGAGGAGTTTCCTTATTTGGGTCGGGGGTGAGGTACATGAGTAATTTGGTAATTACATATTGTATTTCAGAGTTTTCTAGTGTTATAAATAGACATGTATGCAACTCTAGATTTTATCCCTGATTTTTTTAACCATTTTCTGAATATTGAAAGGAATTTCCCGCTCTGCTCCCGAGTACGTAGGCATCTTTACCGAACCTCATTAAATCTCTTTGTGTTCTTCTGGATTTATGTCGATTACTATTTTTCTTCACCCAAATTTCTCAACATAATGCTATTACATTAATATATTTTTATTATCACAAATTCTCTGGGATGCGATAAGAATTATGATAAATGTTAAATTTAAATAATACATGCACATTAGCAAGTTATTTTTTTCGTTTACATGCATATTTGGAATGATAACAAGACATGATATTTTCTACTATTTTCTTACTGCATGATTCCTGTCATTAGTTGCCACCATATTTGATTTTGAAGGATTAGTTATATGAAATTTGACAAATACTAATGCAAGCTTCGGGGTCAATTTTAGTTTTTATTTTCTTACAAATTTTTATTTCTTTATTTATATGAAATAATATGTATTTGATTTTTTAAAAATATATTATTTTTTATTTTTGTTGTCGTGGCAATGGTTGCCATTGAGTCAACACAGGCACGGATGGTGGTCACTAACAATGGTGGCCACTTAGCTATAGTTATGACAACAAATTGTAATAAATTTTCTTAAAAATAAAAATAATAATTGCTAAGAAAATGCATTAAACAATTGTATTATTAAAATATATAAAATGAAAATCAATTTGATCCCAAACAAACTTGAATAATTACCTAAATTTGACTTGAGCTAAATCCTATTAGTTGTAAAACATCATCTACAATAATAAAATAAATGTGAAATTCTCATCTTTTCCAAACAACACTCAGGACCAATTGGCTAAATTAGTTGTTGATGTCCCAAATTAGCACAACCATGGACTAACCCTCGAGCCTAGGGTTTTGCAAAATCAAACCAAGCTTAAAGCAGACAACTAGGAATCCTCTCTGGCTTGACTACATAATGTTCTTCACCACTTTTCTATAGGTTATCTTCCAGATAAATTTATTTGACGTTCTATCTTTACATTTTATTAGAAAGTTGTGACTTAGATCGCACGATATATGACTAATTTCTTCTTTATTGGAGTATTTATAGAACACAAAAATTACATATAATTGTCACTTTTGGATTCCATCAACACCAATCATGATGTCTAAAGCCTCCATAGATTCCATTATATATATCATCACTAGGGCATGTGGATATGAAAGCTATGATGATAGTTATTCCAATACAGAAATATACATTTTCATGCATAAATAAGGTGACATACATAAAAATTTAAGTTTTGGTGTTAGATATGTAAATGCACAAATAAAAATATTAAATACGGAATTGAGTGATATTTATGTATTTCAATGTATTTACATCCCTAACGCTTGACTTTACATTTTAATATTATTACCACTCAAATTTTTTATATCACATAAAAAAATAACATCATCGCATACACCTTTTAATGCTAATTTAAAATTTTTAATGTTGACTATTACGGTGAACTTTAAATAACATATATTGCTATTAATAAAAGAAAATAAACATATAAAACTGAGCAATAATATTTTTCGTTGAAATTGCAAAGAAGGCGTATGGCAGGTGCTCGGCTCTATAAATAATTAAACCCTCATCATACGCAATTTTTTTTTTTCCATACGACAAGTTGAGCGGCATATGACAAGGCGTATAGCAGCGCATGAATTTTTTTTTTGGTACTTAAAAAGGTTTTATAAAAATCAAATATGATTTTTAATTATTTATTTTTAGGGCTGAGTACCAAAAAAAAAAAAAAAAAAAAAAAAAAAAATTAAATTAGTGAATGACGGACGATACACGTGATAAACTGTGCTGATATTTTTATGAGCCCTGCCATGAATCCGCTATAAGCATTGCCGCCAACGGTGAAGCAGGGGAACAAAAGGCATGCAAAGGTTAGTTTGGACATTTCTATTTGTGAAATGACCTGAAATGGGAGAAAAATTTGCTTACGTAAGATGTACGTAATGCTGCGTACTTAAGATAGGCGATAGAAATGGTATTGGAGGTTATATTCATGCTTAAGATAGGTGATGGAAATGGTATTCGAGATTATATTCATGTTATACCTACTGTAATCTCCTTGTAACCTTATAATCTACATGTAATTTATAAATATATGAAAATAAAAACACGAAACTTACTAGTTACAGATAGGTTATAAGTAAGTTACACGAAGATTACAGAGGGTATAATACGGATATAACCCTTAATACCCTCCTTGTAACCTATCTGACGTACGCAGCGTTGTTGTACATCTTACATATGCAAATTTTTATCCTGAAATGGAGAGAAAATAACGGTACGTCTGTAAAACTTCCACTTACGTTCGCAATGCATTTATTGGCATTTTTTTAGATCGGAACGAAATTGTACCGAGTTCTCAAACAAAGCCTATGTAGTTAGTGGAAAAATTTTCCCTGGCAAAATGTCAGATCATATGAAACAGGGGATCATTACGGTAGTTTTGAAGAAAAAGCTTCTCGCACTTCCAGGAGCTACTTTGGGGGAAAAATTTGGGTGCGTAAGACGTTTGTAGAGCTGCGTACATCAGATGTTATTGATAGGATATTGAGAGGTTAAATCCGCATTATACCCCCTATAATATCTTTGTAACATACCTATAATCCCTCAATAGCCTCTGAATAACCTATGGTGTACGCAGCCCTGCAAATATCTTACGTAGGCAAATTTTTCGCCTATTTTGGTGCATATGAGTGAATTCAATATCCAAAATGCTTTTCTTTCCTAACCTCTGCTTCTTCCTGTGACTAGACCAGAGATCGTTTCGCTTCTTTGTGAGATCAGAATCTAGACTCTCTGCTTCTTTGTACGACCAGAATCCAGAGATGGCGTAATGGCGTAATGGCGTAATGGCAAGCAATAGGGTAAGACGATGGAGCGACGAAGACTAACTACAGAGGTCGAGAAGGAGACAGGAGGAGACGGGATCGAAGGAGTGGCTGCTTTAATAGGAGAAAATATTGTATCTATGTTATTTGGCAGTGAACTGAACCACGCTTGAAATGAGCACTAAACTTGAAAAACGACGAGTAACAGCATTTTTTTTTCCACAAATAAATCATATCTTCTTTTTATGTGATGTGAGAATAATAAATTATGATATTATGTATCTTTTTTATATGAAAATTTCTAATTTAAAAATTTTACCATATTATAGAAAAAATAGGGTATGATTGGTGGATAGTTCTGGTACATATGTATATATTATATTTTTTCTCAGAAATGAACTATATTTTCTGCTCTTGTGATGCAATAAACAATAAATTATGATGTTTTGCGACTTCAATGTTTGAAATTTTTTGTTCTAAAAGTTTTTTCATATTTTAAAAAAATGGTTGTATAGTTGTGGTATAGTTGTGTTATAGATATATATATTTTGTTTTTTTTTTCATAAATGAAACATATCTTCCGATTATCATCCTCTGGTGTGAGAAACAATATATTATGATGTTATACATATTTTCAATTTAAAAATATGTATTCTAAAAGTTACAATATTTTAGAAAAATGGTGGCACATTGATTGTATAATGGTAGTACATATGAATATTATATATATATATATATATATATAAATATATATACCTTCCATCCCTATGATGTGAGAATTAATATATTATGACGTTATGAATATTTTCTATATGAAAATTTCTATTCTAAAAAAAATTATAATTTTATAAAAAAAAGTTGGTATAGTTGTGGCATAGATGAATATATTAATTTTTTTCCTTACAAATGAAAAATATATTTTGCTCCTCTAATGTGAGAAATGATAAGTTATGTTGTTAAGCATTTTTTCCTATTGAAAAATTTTTATTCTAAAATTTTAATCATGCTTTAGAAAAATGATGGTAATGTGTATTGGCATCCATTTTTTATGTGATATACATGGGACATCCTCGCTGAGTGCACGACACTGTAACTATGATCTACAACGTCGTTGTCGTGCCCCAAGTCAATCATAGGCTAAGCACATCATCAACACATTCACTTGTCTTATTCGACTTAGCGATATAGTTGTGTTGGCATCCGCTCTCTCTATCGGGGGCCAATTAATTCTTCTTCTTTTGTCATAATCTGTCACTCTACTACAACGAGTTTTCTAGCAATGCATCAATTCATCATTCCACTCCATCGGGGAACTACATTTTCTTGGATAGGTTCTTTGCTCTTTGTGGACATTTTTTAGGGAGAGGAATGATGAACTCACATCCCCTTTGAGGCTCAATCGACTATATTTTGTGGGGTTGCACGATTGGTTGGTTGATTGTGAAACTGATACTACTACTTTTGTGACGAGATATCCACTTTCAATTCTTCTCTTAGCTAGGTCTGCAAAATATATTTAATAAATGTAAAATTTAAGCCGCCTAAATAAAGGTCAAAATAATCAGACCCAAACCTTGGCAAAATCTTGTTCTTTGGAATTGCAAATCCATACATTTTGACTCCCCCTATTGAGCCATAAAAAAAAAAACTCCAATAAAGAAAAAAAATTTGTTATAAGCCCTGCGCCTGATTCCCTGTTCCCCACCATAAAGCAGCTCTCTCTACCTATTAACCGAACAACCACAGAAATCCTAAACCGAACTCTCCTCTGATCCATATGAACGAAAAGAAAACCTTAGTGCTGAACATGTACCAATCCCTATCCACCGGCGACATGAATAAGGCGGCGGCTCTCCTCGCCGGCGAGCTGGAGTGGCGGTTTCACGGCCCACCGGGGAGGGAGCACATGATGCGGATTCTCACTGGCGTCGAGAACCAAAAATTCCGGTTCAGGCCGCGCAGGGAGGCGGAGCTGGGGAAGTGGGTGGTGGTGGAGGGATGGGAGCTGAGCGGCGAGGAGGAAGACTATTGGGTACACGCGTGGGTGGTGGAGGGTGGGGTTATCACGCAGTTTAGGGAGTACTTTAACACAAGCGTGACGGTTAGGGTGTTGGGCGGGCCGGCGACGGGGGATTTGGGGGAGATGACGCTTTGGAAGAGCCGAGCGGGCCGGCCGCTGCCCGGTTTAGTGCTCCCGGTCTGACTCGGTCAGAGACGTGTGGGAACCGCATCTTTTGGTGTTAAAAAAAACAAGAACGTAAGGGATGATTGTATAAACATCTTTTGAAGCATTGATATTTACAAATTAAGTATTCATGTGAATTTTTATGAAGTGTAGAACTGATATATTTACACGTGGCAGGATCAAAACAATGAAAATTTGATATAATCAGGTCTTCTTTCTAGCATAAGTTTTGTAATTTCTCTGTTTAACCTCCTCCCTCAAGTGAAGAAAGTGAGTTAATTTGTAAGCTATTGGAGATGGTTATTTTTGTCTTTTGGCGATTAACTTCATCTACGATCCGATTGGATGGTTCATATTGACCCCGCTTAATCATAGCATATTTTTCAAGATTTGGGTGCTTTAATGACCTCGAAATTGAGCGCTCTTAGGCTCTTTGGTTTTCTCTGACCGAGACACTCAATTTGACTATGAATATGTCAAATTTGAAGTTCATTTTATTATTCAATCGACTATTCAAAACCTCTAATTATGCTTCAATTGTTTGATATGGGCATTATTGGACCTAGGTTGAACTAATTATGATAGTCCTATCGAGACGGTTATTTTGACTATAGTCTTATTGAAATCAGGGCTTTATATGACCTTGAATTTGATTTTGTGGTTTCATTCATTAAAAATACATTGAGATTCATGTTGGATAAAAATTTGTTGAAGACACATCATTCTTCACATTATTTTCGACAATGTTATTTGTGTCGTCTAAAAATATAATTTCAAATATTACAAAAACATACTATGGGGAGATTTGAATTGCCATGTATGTTATGCGGGGTTTTAATCAGCTTGGTAATGTCCCAGTTGGTGGTGCCGACAGTGTCGAATAGCAGTGGTCCAATAGAGGCCAGATAGTTATGGTATGACGGTTGTGGCGGCCAAAATGGTGGTGGTATGACAACAAATATGAGTACGAATGGAGGCATAGCAAAGTGCACAAGGGTATGTAGATACAAAAGAAATAATGAGTGTGTGAGCGAGCGAGCAACAAATAGGAGTACGAATGGAGGCATAGCAATGTGCACAAGGGTATGTAGATACAAAAGAAATTATGAGTGTGTGAGCGAGCGAGTGACACGTGTGAGTGTGTGAGCATGTGCATGTGAACAACAATGGCATTAGTGTAAGCACTCATCATTGTACACTTGTCTGACAGTGGCATATTACGGGCACGCAGGGCATACAAGGACATGGACAAGGTCGGCGCGGATGTGGATAGTGTGATCATGGGAAAACCGGGTTAATAGGAAATGGGCGGTGGAGCAGTTGCACAAAGCATTTAGCTTACAAGGGTTCACGTGTATACATACGTCCTTGTAGGCAATTGCGCGTATGTGCATGCTTGTGGATTTGTTCATGGAGCGAAACTTCAAAATTCTAAATTTTTCTCTATTTTTTTCAGGATTTTTGCTAATAAATAGGACCTTTGAGGGAGAGAGAAGACACACCAATCCTCCCCTAATTGAAGTGTATCTCTGCCTCCTTCCTAAGGTTGTTGTTTCCTCCTTCTTCAATCCGTTTTTGCCTTCTTTCTCAGGCTGTTTTTGCCTTCTTTCTCAGGCTATTGTTGTCTCCTTCCTTATGATGTTGTTGCGTCATTTCCCAAGCCTTTGTTGACACCTTCCTCAGGCTGTTATTACTTTCAAGAGAAATATTTTTGTCATTGATTTTCATTTGAAGTTCTCGTGTCTCAAGAAACGCCCTTGATGGCCAAAAAAAGAATCCCGATGAGGTAGCATCGATAATCACAAAGGATGCTTCGATACTTTTCTTTAAAAGGTTTCACTTTTAGAATGATGTAGTGGTTAATTTGTGGAGTCCATCTAACCAAGCTAGTTTGCCTCCCATGGATATATTATTATTTATGAGGTGAATCTTCATGCTGACCTATGACTTTTACATGCGCTCAAACCGACGGATGTTTTATTAGTGATTGGGGTTAGTGATTCTCGATTCTCCTGTCATGCCATGACAATCATTGTCAGGTTAAAATTATTCTAACATATTTATTTGCTTTGCCTGGAATAATCACCTACCAAAAAAAAAAAAAGATTTTGGACTACAAAAATTGCTAAAGCATCCTATTTAGTGTGTAATTAACATGTCTGCCTTTCAGTTTAAATGACAAACAAATAATCACTTTACAAAATATTCAAAAGTAATCACAACAAATTTTTGCTCTATGGAAAAACAATCTTGTGTGTACAGTCAGTGTGGTATGTCTCCAAAGGACCATTTATTTTCAATTTTATTTAGTTTCTCTTACTTTGCTCAATTTATACACTTGAGTGATTTCAAATGATTAACAACTTTGGAATGAATTTTAAGTTATTGATTTTAATTTAGTTCAATTTTAAATCTATATTTTGAAGAGTATTAGGATTAATGTAACTCTTGAAGGGGTTCTCATCATTCCTAGCACTATGGTCCTAATAGGACAATCTCTTCACAGATAGGGATAAATGCCTTAACCCTATCTAGTTTAATTTATTTTTTGTTAAATTTTAAACTATTTTTAACATTAAGTTTCAACCATTTAACTAATAAACCTATATGGAGCTAATTCTATTAGTCATAAATAGCCATATGGGTGGTTGTGAGGAGTTTTGAATTCAATGGTGAGTTTGGGGCAGCTTGTGCTTATTCAGATAAGTCGTTTATTTGGAAACGTGAACTGCGGGATTCGACCTACTTTCCGTGTTCAGTGTAAAAAAACAACTGTGTTTTCGGATAAGTTACTCAAACGTAATTTATAAACGGTGAGACGGTGTTTTCAAAACGCCGTCGCAGCGGATAAGCTGCCCCAAACGGAGCCCAAGTGGCTTGCTCATTACATTCTATTTAATTAATTAGTTATCTTTTTGGCAAGTTATTATTATTTTTTTTAATGATAAAAGGAAAATATAAATAATTAAGGCATTACACTTTAAAATGTATGAAAAAAATTCCTATTACTACAAAATGACAAAACAAAGTCCATAAAATGTCAAAATAGAATTAAATTATATAGAATGTTCTTGAATTTCCCTCCCCACACCCATTATTTTTATTTTTCAAAACAAAAATTATATAGAATATTTATATATTTCTAAAATTCATGAAAATTTTATTTAAAGTGTGGGAGGATTAGAAGAATTCCCCATACAATTAAAGATTTTTTCATTTTTTTTAATTTTGATTAATTTTAATTCATTCAAAAAATTTAAAAATTTTATTAATTAGAGGGATTAGTTCCTACAACTCGTGCTCTTTTTAAAGATTCCCAAAAATCTCACATTTGTTTTCTGAATGTCAAAATTCTTACAAAATTTTGAAAGGCTGCATTTCCCATAATTTTTTTTTCCACTATGATTATGTTCTTCCACAGATTCTTAGTTATGTTTATTGTATTTCATGTGTTATTACAACGCGATTTTTTCTGTTAATTGTTCAAGTTACTTCTTACTATTTATGGTTGGAAAGGAATTCCGAGAACCATAGAAACTCTAAGGAATACAAATATTATTATTAACAATATTAATCATGCTATCAAAGTCATAATTAGAAGGTGGAAATTTAGGATCTCTATTCATGATGTAATATAAATTTCTACAACATCTCAATGCAGATTATACCAATTTTTATTGGGTTATGGATCACGTACGACCTTCCCTGGCTTTGTTTTGGGGTTGTTATGTTTATAATGGTGTTTATTGGGATTCAATTTCTTCTTATTCCGCTTATTTTGTGAGGCTTATGACCATCCCTGGGTCAGTTTGGGTTTGTTGTGTTTCATGCTGCTATTGTTGATGGTTTCTAGGAAGGCTTAATCTCTTGAATGGGTGTGGGCTGATGGAATGCCATCAATTAAGATATTATTCTCCTCCTTTTGGATATTTTTTTGAGGAATATGGTAGTCTTTCTTTACACCGGGGAACAAAAAGTCTTCTTGGATAGGTTCTTTGGTATTTGTGGGCACGATGAACTCACATCTCGTTTGTGGCTCAATCGACTTTATTTTGTTGGGCTACATGAATGGTCAGTTGATTGTGGAACTGATGCTACTATTTTTGCGACCGGATGACCTCTTTGAGATCTTCTCTTAGCTAGGTCCTATTTCTCAGCCTAGATAGAGTCTATGATTTATTTAATTTGAGATGCTCTCTAAGCTCGCCCTTTTTTCAATTTCTTTCTTTACATATTTCAGATTTTATTGATGTTATATGTTTGCTTCTTCATTTTGCTTAACACAGTCCTATGTTTTATAAATGATACCTTACTTTTATAATATCCTTTTTAATATCAATATCGATTGTGGCCCTCAACATTCCCTAAAGACAAAATAGAGGTAACATCACAACAATAATAAACAAATTTAACAAAATGACAAAAAACATACCTCTTGAGACACGCACAACTCAACTTCAGATTAACAAAACAAATTTCTTTATTTTTTTTCAGAACACGCTAAGATTTAAAACTGTGTTGTGAACTCTCATCTCAATGCATATTATAGCATTTATATGTAATATAATAATTTATGATAAGCCGCACCAACCAAAGTATAAAAAGGTGCAAAACGCATTACAAAGTTGTAGGAAAAAACGAAGGATAAGCATATTGTGGAGCTCACTCATTATATTAAAGAGATTGGAAGAATTTAGAACTTTAAATAACCTAATTGCTCAGCCTAAGTACTGTCGTCAGTCCACCGCTCGACCATTATTATTGGATCATTGTTGCCCAACTTTCACCATCAGGCTATGATCATCAGGACAAATGATCAGTAATTTTATTCTCAGTTTCCTTCCTATCTACTATTTTAAAGTCAAATTCTTGCAAAAGAAAAACCCATCTTATCAGTCTTAGTCCACCGCTCGACCATTATTATTGGATCATTGTTGCCCAACTTTCACCATCAGGCTATAATCATTAAATCGTTATTATCAAACTCTCACCAACTAATCACGGTTGTAGAACTGTTG